GGGATGTGTTCTGGATCTGTATCCTGTTCCCTTGTTTCTACCACTTTATTTTGCTTCTTTGTGTGGACTGTGATGGTCTGTTGTCTCCAAGACATCGTGGCATTGTTGTATTTACATTTCTGTTAACTGTTTGTGAAGAGCAGCTAAAGGTGATTCTGGCTCTTCTAGGTGGTTTTTTATTGTTGGCCCATTGATGGAGAAGGAGGTGGTGGCTCTTGGTCAGTAAGTGAAGTTGCAGGAGGTGTGGGTGTAGTTGTGTCTTATGGGGACTATTGCTGTCTCCCACTCAATTAGACAAAAATTACAACTGAATAACCATCAAAAAAAAACTTTTCAGTCATCCAGGTCCGGAGTGTTCTTGGGGTTACTGGCAAGCAGAACCTGTTCTTAAGCCCCTGGAATCTCAGAGAGCACTGTCTCTTTAAATATCCAAAATGGTTAAGCTGCTTGTAAACATTCAAAATTGCGGTGCCCTCCAGGGAGGCAAAAGTCCACAGCTCACCCCACCTTTCTCTTCAATGGTGCTTCTCATTTTATTCTCCAGCCACCAGAGCAGTCCTCCGTGCAGTCCCTGGCTAGCAGGGCTGACTTTTTGGTTAATTCTTAGGTCCTACCACCACTTGGCACTCTCCAAGTTGTCTGTGCCGTGCCATCAAGCTTGCTCAGGATAGCTGCCAGACTGCAGCTCCGTATGTCTCCTTTTTTGGTATTTTCATGTAAATTCTTCTGCTAGTTGGGGTATAATCCACTTCTATATACTTCCTTTCAAGGCTCAGGGGTCCAGGATTATCTTCTGTGTCTGTGTTAATTGGTTCCCCTTTTCTTTGTTGAAGAGGGTCTGTGCAGTCTTTCTCCCTATTCCGCCACCTTACCGGAGGTCCCATCCCATGCTTTATTGTGCTGCACAACATCCATGAATGGAAGCCACTGCCGTCAAGTTTATTTTGACTCTTAGTGACCCTATAGGACAGAGTAAAACTGCTCTAGAGGGTTTCTAATGCTGTAAATCTTTATAGAAGCAGACTGCTTCACCTTTCTCCCATGGGGCAGCAGGTAGGTTTGAATTGCTGACCTTTTTGTTAGCAGCCCAACGCTTTAACCACAGCACCACCAAAGCTCCTTCCTTGAGTTGAGGACATGTAGAAGATACTCTGTTAGGTACTGTTCATGCAAAAATAAATGTGGCATTGTCCCTCTGGTCAAATGAGTTACAATAGAATTTCAAAAATTTTAAAAAACTAATGACTTCATATTTTTACAGTGTAATTGATAATTTGTTTTTCAGAGAACAAAATCTGCTTGCTCATATAAATAGTGTTCTGCTAAGAAATTTAAGTTTTTCATTTTGATCTGAGAGAGAACTTATCTTGCTCCTGTTTTTGGGAAAAGGCCTTACCTGGAATATAGCAGGTGTTCAGAATTATCATGCCTATCATGTTCCCAAGTTCTATTATTAATACTTACTTCCCAGGGGAGACTCCTGTAAGTCATGTCAGATACTCACCACAGACAGACCCTCGAACTAATCTCCTTAAGTGAGGTCTCTCTGGGAGGTAGCGATATTTGCATCCAAATATACTGAGGTTTGATGTGTGGTCTCCAAAGAAACGGAGCTGGCGGTATCTCTCCCCACATCGATAACAAAAATTAGTGTTGCACTGTGAACAAGTCATATGGTCACATCCTTCAGTTCTCTGGATGTGAATCTGTATCAGTGAAAGAGGGAAAGAGAAGCTTATAAAATTTTGAAAAAGTAAAATCAAGTAAATTTTGTGGAATTACACTTAACAAGTTTCACCAAAATAACATCCTTTCTGAGCATCCCTGATTCTACCGACCTGCTTAAATTTATACTCTCTAAGATTGTATTGGTACAAAATATTTCCATGTATTCAAAGCATTTTAGATATTCAAACTGTTGGCTTATTTTGACCAGTACATAAACAAAAAAATCCCAAAGAAAATTCATTTATCCTTCCAGACACACATCCAACTCAGTGGTTAGGGAGCAATTTAAAATGCCGTGAAGGTAAGTTTTGATTATGCTGTGATCAGCAAGAAAGAGGTAACTTGGGGAATAAAAGAGAAGAGTATTCCTTGAAAGAAGAGATTTTGTAAAAACTTTTTGCAAATAAATAGCAAGGGGGAAAAAGAAAAACCCTCTCTTTGCAAAGGGGAGCAATAGCATGTATAACTGTTTTGAAATATCATTTTAGTTTCCAACTCTAATGAGCTTTGTAAATATGTTTAAAAGACTACAATGCCATCTATGCAACTAAGTACCTTGCGCCACTGTTGCAGTCACCGTTACACATACATACAGCTTCCCCTAAAATGCAACAAGGATTTTATTCTTGTAAAGTCTACTATATACTCAATGCAGAGGTCACTGTCACCAACACTGAGACCATGTTATAACCAGGATATTATTCCTTGATATCCTACACTCAGAACCTTCATGGGCACTTTACATAAACTGGAGCCATCTTTCACTCCAGAATGTGCACTTTTTTTAGGGGGGGGGGGCTAGGTGAATAATTATTAAAGAGAACTTAAAAATTATTTCATCACAAAATGATTTGGTTACATTGTCTCTCTCATGTGACTGATGCATTGCATTAAAATAGGATTACATAAAAATTGTCCTCCCTTTTCACTATAGAGCAGGGACTTACTTACTATGTTCATGTTACAGTGCCCTCCCTCTTACCTCAATTCATTATGTATGTCTCTGTCTACTCTCCTCTTTACCCACCTGAAAATGTGAGAAATCAAACATATAGATAAACTAACTATAAGATTCTTTACTCCTAGGGGGTTCCATTCTCCCTACTTCTTCATGTAGGTCTTAGGCAGATGCTAGCTGGAGAGGAGTGCCTTCCTAGATAAGCAAGGGTTAAACACAGTGTTGGCTGAGTCAGAAACAACTGGACAGCACTCAAGACAACAGTAGCTTCTAATCAGGGGCATGTGAGCATCTGTGCTCCAGGGTTACTAACAAATCATCATTTGGTCAATAAAAGCAAAACCTGACTTTTCCTGCTACGGTGAGCTCATCCTTTAAAAAATATTTTTAATGTTTTTTTCTTTTACATGATAGTGTAATCAGAATGAATTCAGGTTTTGTGGGATCCAAAGTATATCCAATTTGAGATTTGAAGGGTCTTCTTTAAGGAAATGAATGTAAATTACAAATCAGTATGTGGCCTGAGAAGGAGCCTATGCAATTGAGGGTGTCCTAGACATAAGCTCATTAACTTCCTGATAAATCCGCCCCTAGTCTGGCATTTCTCCTTCATTTTGCCTGTTTCTCAATGATTTCTGTGGCCATATCTTTCTAGCATATTAGGTGGTATTAAGGACAAGAAGACAACATTTTTACTTGACCCTTGAACCATTTCTTGATCCTTCTTTAAATCACCTGAACACTCAGAGAAAACATGCTGAACAACAATTGCTGAACAACTAAAACAAAGTATTATTTACTTTAGCATACATTCAATGTTTAGACTATATATTATTATCTTTGATCTTAAAATAGAGGTAATGAAGCCTAACATATTTCCTGATGACATGGCAGTGTCACAGTTTACCAAATGGAAGATGACTAATGTTTGTTTAGAGCCTATTATGTGCCACACACATTGTACACAGATTAAGACATCAAAGCCTCAAAAATGAGATTAGCTTTCTTACTCATAACCAGGACTTGGAAAGCTAAGCTGCTCAAGTGATAGTGCAGTGAATGGAGAAAGGATTTCGATGTATGTCTCTATTTATTACACTAAGTAGCCTCTTAATACAAACTTAAAGTTAAGCCAGAAGGTCAATTATAGTCTTTGCTAATAGAAAATATTTGCAAAAGTCAGACAGACATGTCTGCTAGCCTGTACAAGGCATATATGAGTTTTTGTGCTTCTTTTGGCTACTCTCTGGGCCAATTCATACTTTTCTTTATTTCAAAATGACATCAAAACTTTTTCCTACAGGAAACTTATTCTAGTAAGTTAAACTCATTTCTGACAGCTCATTTGCCTCAAAATTTCATGTACAGTTTTCACTGTCATTTAATATCTGCTTATAATATTGCTTCATGCGCTCCTAGAATAATTTCATTTCAATATTAAAGCCACGACTCATCTGTAAACTGGTTGTATTGTTGTGGCTTGCATGTTGCTGTAATGTTGGAAGCTATGCCATTGGTATTTCAAATAACAGCAGGGTCACCCTTGATAGACAGACTTCAGTGGAGCTTCCAGACAAGAAAGATAGGAAGAAGGATCTGGTCATCTACCTCTAATGGTCTAATGTGGTGAGAATGACAAATTGAAGCGAAATGTATCACAGTCATCGTCAAAAACACTTTTCAAGATCTATCCCGAAGGACTGTCAGTGAAAGGGTAAGATTCGTATGTCTACAAGGAAGACCATCAATAGTACTATTATTCAAATTTTCACATCTACCAACAATGCCAAAGATGAAGAAATTAAAGATCTTTTACTAACTTCTTCAGTCTGAAATTGATTAAACTTGCAATCAAGATGCATTAATAATTACAACTGGCATGTGAAAGCTGGAAAAAAACCAAAGATGATCAGTAGTTGGAAAATATGGCTTTGGTCACAGAAGTGATGTAGGAAATTGCATGATGGAATTTTTAACCTATTCATTGCAAATACCTCCCTCTCCCCCAATAAAATAAATGGTGACTATCCATGTGGACCTTACCAGATGGAATGCACAGGATAAAATTGACTCTATCTATGGAAAGAGATGATGGAGAAGCTCAATATCACCAGTCAGTAAAAGACCAGCAGCTGTGTGAAAACAACCATCAATGGCTCATATGCAAGTTGAAGCTGAATTTGAAGAAAAGGAAAATGAGTCCACAAGAGCTAAAGTACCACCTTGAGCATATCTTACTTGAATTTAGAGACCATCTCAAGAACAGATTTGACACACTGAACACTAATGATAGAATACCACACGAGCTGTGGGGTGACATCAAGGACATCCCACATGAAGAAACCCAAAGGTCACTAAAAGGTTAAGAAAGAAAGAAAAGACCAAAATGGATATCAAGAGAGACTGAAAATTTGCTCTTGAACACAGTGTCGCTAACACGAATGGAAGAAATGATGAAGTAAAAGGGCTAAACAAAAGATTTCAATGGGCAGCTTGAAAAGGCAAAGTTAAAGTATTATACCAAACTGTTCAAGGTCCTGAAGTCAGAGAACCAAAAGGGAAGAATACATTCGGCATTTTTCAAGTTGAGAGAATTGAAGAAAAAATCCAAGCCTCACATTGTAATACTGAAGGATTCTATGGGTAAAATAAAGAATTTTGATGGTGTAGTGGTTAAAAGGTTAAAGCACTTGCCTGATAATCAAAAGGTGGGTGGTGTGCATCCACCAGCTGCTCTGCAGGAGAAAATGAGGCAGTTTGCTTCCATAAAAATGTACAGCCTTGGAAACCCTACGGGGTTTCTATTCTGTCTGATAGGGTTCCCATGACTTGGAATCAACTCGATGGCAGTGGGTTTGGTTTGGTTTTTGTTATGGAAAAAATACTGAATGAACAGCCCAGGATGTACCAAAAGAATATGGAAGTAATGTACCAAGTCAATATAGCAAAAATAATTGGTCAATGTTCAACCATTTCAGGAGGCAGCATATGATCAAGAATTGATGGTACTGAAAGAAGCCCAAGCTACACTGATGGCACTGGTGAAAAACAAGGTGCCAGGAAGTAAAAGAATACCAACTGAGATGTTTCAACAAATGGATCCAATGATGGAAGTGATCACTAGTTGATGCCAAGATTTTTGGAAGACATGCATCTGGCCAAGTGACTGGAAGAGATCTATATTTGTGCACATTCTAAAGAAAGGTGATCCAACAGGATGTGGAAACTATTGGACAATATCATTAATATCACTTGCAACTAATATTTTGATGAATTAAAAAAATGGTTGAAGCAGTAAACTGACAGGGAACTGTCAGAAATTGAAGTTGGATTCTGAAGAGGGTGTGGAACAACGGATACCATCGCTGATGTCAGATGGATCTTGGGTGAAAGCAAAGAAAGATGTTTATCTGTGTTTTACTGACTATGCAAAGGCATTTGACTGCATGGATAATAACAAATTATGGCTAACATCATGATTAATGGAAATTTCAGAACAGTTAACTGTTCTTCTGTGGAACCTGTACATAATCCAAGAGGCAGTAGTTTGAACAGAACAAGGTGGGTATTGTGATTTAAAATTAGAAAAGGTGAATGTCAAGGTTGTATACTTCCACTATACTTATTCTGTCTGTATCCTGGGCAAATAATCCTAGAACCTGGACTAAAGGAAGAGGAACACAGCACCAGGATTAGAGGAAGGCTCATTAACAACCTGCAATATGCGGATGGCACAATACTGCTTGCTGAAAGTTAAGAGGACTTTGAAGCACTTACTGATGAAAATCAAAGACTACAGCCTCCAATATGAATTAAATCTTATCATAAAGAAAACGAAAATCTTCACAAATTGACCAATAAGTAACATAATGATAAATGGAGAAAAGATTGAAATTGTTACGGATTTCATTTTACTTGGATCCACAATCAATTCCCATGGAAACGGCAATCAAGAAATCAATGTATTGCACTGAGCAATTCTGCTGCAAAAGACATCTTTGGAGTGCTTGAAAGCAAAGA